ATATATTACAGTATTTACACAAGATTTGGGTCAAATTGTTGCAGGAATTAGTACTAAAAATTAAACAAGGTATCAAAAAGGAGTAATTATTGTTGGCTTTAGTAACAGATAGAAAATTCTGGAGAACTATGATCGTTCCCATTCTGAAGAGACACAGAAAATGAAAAAGACTAAAGCTGATTTAACACTTCACTATCGCACCAACAAATATTTTGACCCATTCATTAAATTAATATTTGACCTTTGAGGGTATGAAAATTATCCCAAACTCTGCACAGGCAGATATATTGCGTAGGGTCTTTATAATGCAAAATATTTGATAGCTGTGACATTTAGCGAAAATCAATAAGATATTGCGTACATTTAATAGTATAGTATGAACAGACGTGTTAAAATGTTTATTTCCAGAACTATCGTATAATTTGTAGATAAACAAAGTAGATATTAGAGTTAAAAAAACATGATGGCTAAAGTATGATGATTAAAGCGTGAAGCTATTAGTCGTCACACAATGTTGATTACTATGTCCACACTGATATATATATATATATATATATATATATATATATATATATATATATATATATATATATATATATATGGGGAGTGTCCGTGGTGAGAACGTTCGCTTTCTAACCATGAAAATCTCATTATGGTCGATTTGTCAGGACCTTTGGAAATTTCCTGAAAACCATACCATGCCTTGTGACCCAAGGCCTTGTGAGTAAAATTGGGTAGAGGGAGCTCTTGTGGCCCGTCGATAGCTGTGCTAGCACGAAGCCGAGGGCTTGAGGGTGCTGGCGTAGTTCAAATTGGTGATCATGCTAGATGGCACGCTATTTCCCAGAAACTGTAAATAAGGTCTACTCAACATAGTTGCCGTATAAACCACAGGTGGGCTCTGTGGGTGTTGAGCAAACACAAATGTGCCTGAGCGAGCTTCTCAATAGGGATTGGCTAGCCGCTCTAATAGATGGGTATCCTAGAATACGATTTACCATCTATCTATCTATCTATCTATCTATCTATCTATCTATCTATCTATCTATCTATCTATCTATCTATATAAGACAAGATGAAAAACTATTTTTAGCCGATGCGTTTGCCCTTTGGACATTATCAAAGCAAACCAGAGGACGAAACACGTTGGCTAAGAATAGTTTTTCCGCTTTTCTTTTTGTTTACGTTGATGCGACTATAAATGCGTACGGTTGAGAGATGCTGAGAATTTTAAATTTAGAAAAACACTTTTTTTAAATATTGGTTTTGGAAATATAATCTATTTCATTTAGTTTCTTTTTCTTTTTGTTTCTATCATCTTTGTTAAATGTTGCACATTGTGGTAATAGAAGATCTGCCAAGAATGGTGAAACGTTATAAGAACCTGGACGCAAATATACTGTAGATGAACTAGCGATTAAAGCACTTTATAAACATTTTCGTCTTAGTGAATTCGTTTCTCTTTTAATCAATATCCGTAGTTAATGATGAAAAGAACATTTATTTTAACCAACGATGGTTTATTTGTCAACATAATTTCCTTCCTTGTCAATGTTCTTCATTCAATACTCAGTGTTAATAATATATAATGAAACCTTCAGATAAGAAAGAGTTAATAACTGTATCGGCCTACGGAATTATTGATCCTATCTGTTATATAAATAATATCAGCTCTAATATAATTAAAATTTCATAGAGGTCAAATTCTAGAAATACAATTGTAAAAAATCTCTTGGTGAAACAAAATATAGTTAGCATATAAATGAAAATATTCCGGCATAATGCTTCATCATGCTTTTTCTTTCAAGCATTTTAAAAAGTATTTTATTTTAAAATGCCATACTTTTCGAAGCAAAAATAATGATTGCGACCAAACTTACCGATGAGGTATGTGTCTTTGTCCATTTAAAAGAGCCAGAATGACATTTCCCAAGGCAGACAGACTTAAGGACACGCTGTTTGGGTCCTTTGACTTGGAGCAACTACCAAGATCGATAAAATGGAGTCGGCTTCTTCCTCCAGCCACTGAAAGAAGGGAAAAAAAGAAGACAGAATATTTATTCAAGATATATCTTAGGTTGTCTATTGCAATCTTATTAAATCGGTCGTACTATGCTGGGACAGCGGTTTCCGAAAACTTGGCTTTTTTGTTAGATGGTCTTAATAACTGGATGAAACGTAAAAATGGAAACAAAATAACAGAAAATAGAAAAAAGAAGTGATACCAAAAATACTGTTACAAAGCCTTTTTAGAAATTTTCATATGCAAGACGTGTACAATAAGAAAACTGATTTACTTATATATAAGTACATGCTTCAGGTTTTCAGTTGTTATTTGTTTTGTTTTAATTAAGTCTTTTGCTTTAGAAGTAGTTAAAACAAATTTTGTTAAGTTTCAATTGTAGTTGTGATAGTGTTAGTAGGTAGAGTAATGTATAATTAAGAGGAATTGTGTTAAGCAACGTTCCGAGAGTGTAAAAATGTTATCATGTCACGAAAAAACAGATCAGCTTATAAGTGGATTACTAACGGGGAACTGTGTATAGAATTTAATATCGAATTCCATTCGTTGAAAACGATGTTGATAATGTTGCAATATCGCAAAGTTTATTCCAAGTGGGTCCCAGAAATGCTCTTTAAAGAATAAAAGATCATTAAATGCATTTCTTTCAGGACCTGATTGACCACAACGAATCTTTAGGTAACGAGAGGTAATGTCATAGCTACGAGCTGGTATGAAAACGATAATATATATTAGGTTGGTGCAAAAATAATGATGTAATAATGTCGTTTTTCGACGTATTTTAAACGTCAAAAAACGACATTATTACGTCATTATTTTTGCACCAACCTAATAGAAAGGCAACATGCGATTTCTGGTCAAAGAAAAAGTTCAACGTAGAGTAATTAGTGGGCAAAGTTGTGTGCACTGCTTTTGAGATAAGAAAAAACGTGATTCTTTAGGGTTTTTTATACAACAGAGAAACCATAAATTCTGAGAGCTATAGCGCAATACTGACACAAATTTCAGGTTGTAAGCCAGTGAAAAAAAACCCCAAAAATAACCTTTCTTTTAAAAATTTACGTCAGGACCAACACGACTTAAACGACTACAGCTCATATTGCGGATGTTGATTGGACTGTCCATCAGATTTGGCGCCTTTTGACTTTCGAGGTCGATGTAAAAAAAAAGACATGGACAAAATTTTATCTGACAACATCATTTTTAATGAAAAAATAAATAACAAACAAACAAAACAAAACATATCGGTCATTGCCATTGGAGGATTTTTTTTTCAAATGCAGTATTTCAGGTTCTTATTCATCGCCTGAGAAAATGCAAATCGAATGGCTGTCACTACGTAGAAGAGCAAAAATTTCTAGCTGAAAACTTGCTCTGGTAAATGATATTACTGGTTACCCGATATCTATTTTAGTTTCCATGGTAATAGAAGGTAATCCTTTTGCAGCGCTTCTTATGCTCCTTTCTCTCATTTTATATATATATATATATATATATATATATATATATATATATATATATATATATATATATATATATATATATATATATATATATATATATATATATATATATATATATATATATATATATATATATATATATATATATATATATATATATATATATATAGAGAGAGAGAGAGAGAGAGAGAGTTAAAACCTAGAGATTGACAAACCTATTAAGTTTCACCTAAGGATCGTCAGGGAAGCCAGCATTCCCCTGACGATCCGCTTAGATGAAACACTTGGTAGGTTTATCTGCCTCTCTAGGTTTAACTAGGTCTGCTCTGCTTATCGTATTGAGCACTTTACTTAGTTGTTTTGCGTACTCGAATAGATTTTTTCTTCTTTGGGCTTTGAACTTGCATGCTGGACGATTATTTTCGGCTAACGTTCATATTCTTGGTTCCTTCTTTTTTGTCCCTTTGGTATTGGTTTGATTATTTGCAAATCAAGACACCGAAGGTTTTCCGAACGAGTATAGTTTCTTATACCTATAGGATTACTATTAATACTACTACTACTACTACTACTACTACTAATATATATATATATATATATATATATATATATATATATATATATGTGTGTGTGTGTGTGTGTGTGTGTGTATTAATAAATTCACCCCAAGCAAGACGATAATGCCATTAAGACGCTAGGAGCAGCTGAGAGTGAAAGAGAATGAAAAGACTTTAGAAGGAACTGGAAACTTAACGCTAAACAGGGAACAAGGGGTAAGGCTCTACTCTTATTCAAATGACCTGGGTAGGGGTGTCCCTCCTATACGTCCGACTTTGGTAGTTTCATGCTAGTACGCAATATTCAGGAGGGGATGGAGAGCATTGAGAATCCCCTTACATTGTTCCCCGGACTGATGATTGCATAATAGCATGAAAATACCAATTGTGGATGTATAGGGGCACATGACTGAAGAGTTCATATTACATAACTATATATATATATATATATATATATATATATATATGAGAGAGAGAAAGTGTGTGAGAGAAAGAAAGAGAGAGAGAGAGAGAGATACACAGTTAAAATGTGTTACAAAAGATATTCTATTGCCATGGAAACTAGAACTATCGTTTCTGAAGAGTTATTATTACATTTTGCCTCTGTGTAATGTACATTTTACACACTCTTTATTGGGTTCTCTAAATTTTATAAAAATAGTTTATAACACACACACACACACACACACACACACACACACACACACATATATATATATATATATATATATATATATATATATATATATATATATATATATATATAATAAAAATAATCCCGGTAGGTCTGATGAATTGGATCGTGATTAAGATTCCAATGTAATAAATTATAACCATGGAATATTAGTGTTTGAGCCTTTTATATTATATTCTTGCTCTTTGGACATTTAGCACTACATGGATTCTATCTTCTTGAAATTATATATATATATATATATATATATATATATGTATATAATGACCACTAATATTATCTATCTATCTATCTATCTATCTATCTATCTATCTATCTATCTATCTATCTATCTATCTATCTATCTCTCTCTCTCTCTCTCTCTCTATATATATATATATATATATATATATATATATATATATATACATATATACACCTATATATGTACCCGCATCACCTAACCGAGTGTTTAGAACCTCCATTTTCTGACAATTAGCCCAAGATTCGAATATCAGTATGGTCGATTTGTAAGGGAAGTGACGTTTTGATATTTTCGGCTTGGGGAGGTATCACAAATTTGTAAAGTGCCTGAAAACCATGCAATAGGTTAAACCCAAGCTTTGTGAATGGTATTGGGTAGATGAAATCTTTCATTGATGGTTGCATTCCATGAAGTAATCATTACTGAAGGCTTCAGTGTACTGGCCTTGTTAAAAAAAAAGCAGACTGTTAATCACGTCAGATAATGTACTCTCTTCCAGAAACTGTTACTAAGGTCTTATAATTGCAGTATAAATCACAGGTGAGATATGTGGGTATTGAAAAAAAAATACAAATTTTCCCGTGCCGGCGTCAGTCACATGGATTGTCTAACAGCTCTAGTAGACAAGTGTACACTCAAATAAGTATGTATAAGTTTTTGTGGCAATTATCAGGTAACTGATATTCTAATGAAACTGCATGGAATAATTATAAAATATTGGATTATATATATGTTGAAGTTGTCTAATAAAATCATGTCGGCGAAAGAATTACATAAACTCACCAAATTTTAGAATTTGCTAATAGAAATTACGAAAGAATATGACATTGCAACAGTTACTATTGTACGTAAAAATATCCATTGCATTAGGAGTGCTAGGAGTGATTAAGAAGAATACGGATAAATACTTTAAGGTAATCACAGGAAATATACCTTTATCAGAAATACAGAAATTAGTGTTAATGAGTACTGCTCACTTATACAGAAAAATAATTTCAATCTAATATGTTAAATAATTTAATGAGAAAAGTCTTAGTTTAACTTAAGTTTCACCTGAAACTTAAGTTAAACTAAGACTTTTCTCAATTGGGAAATGGTTATATGAAAAACAACCTAATGATAGATAAAGTAAAGGAAATAATAAATGAATGTGGAAATAAAAAAAACACTAACCAATCACCGATTGAACGAATGCAGCATAACAATCCCCCTATCACACTAAAAATAGTCATTACTTGTCATGGAGGATTATTCCCGATGAGCTGCACAAAAGATTAGGATTTAACGATAGTAATAAATGGTAAAACACAAACCAGATTGTGTTTTAGAGAATAAACACATAAATTCTCTTATATGCATACAGATCACCCAATCCAAGCCAGATAACTAAATATAATTAGCGTAGACAAAGAAAATAATGTCAGATCATAGATATTCCAACAGAACATAAGGTAAAGTTAAAAGAGAGTAAAAATGCTGGAGAAATAGTTAAACCTAGCAAGAGAACTAAAATATTGTAGAACATGAACATGAAAGTTGTGCCTATAGTTTTTTGAAGACCGGGAGCAATCCCAAAGAACTGAGCTAAAACAATGGAAGAACTGCAAATACAATGAAGATTCGAGAATATCCAAACGTCAGCAATTCTAGTAGCAGCTGACATAAAGAAGGAGACTTTGTTCTCTTCAATCTCCAACGTTAAGTAGATACCTAGTATGGTAATTGTTGTAGAGTAGTTTTCACAGTGGAGGCTTGTATTTCAAGTCGTCCTTAATTAGGTTCGACGTACAAAACGTTAGGAACTTGAAAATAAGAGTTAATGACGCAGAAAATCTAGTTGTGATGGTTGATACTTCAATGTCCGACAGACTCACTCAACACCACTGAGCCCAACTTGCCACTGCTACTACTACTTATTACCTGTGGGAGAGTCTATTACAATAGAATAGGTATTATGGTATAACAGTAATGGTAAAATTAGCCGCTTAATTACGAGGAAACCTTCGGCATTCATTAACCGAACAGTTTGTACTTGAAATTTATGAAACTTTTCTATCAAAACAATTTAAAAAAAAAAAAAGGTTTCCAGTAGCTGTTATTGCTCTTTCCAGCATTGACGAGTGTTTAATTCCCAACCTTTTATTTGAAGTAAATTCATAAGAAGTTCCAACTGTGATGGTCTGGGATTCGTTAGCAATGACGGAGATGCCACACTTCCTCACTTCTTTCCTCAGGGTTTAAGAATCAATGTTGTTGCCTATCAGAAAGTGTTGCTGATAGATATTACAACACTATAACGAGAACTACGCCATGACGATAACTATATTCAAAAATTGATAACGATTATCTGATTCGAGCATTTCAACGCTTCCAATCAATTATTGAATCAGTCATAGATGTTAACGGTAGATTTATTGAATAGGTACGAGAAAAAGGAGTCTTAACATTATTTGTGCCAATTCTTTTTCAAATAAAGTTTTTCTTGCATGAACTATGATTCTTAACTCATTGAAATGTGCTAAAAAAACAGACTCTCCTCGTATATATATATATATATATATATATATATATATATATATATATATATATATATATATATATATAATACAGATTGTCAATATCTTTTATTATATCAATATCTTCGAGTTACATGTGCTATCCATTTTAGTTGTTGCTGCTGTTGAAAGTCCTTAAGTGATGTGTTATCTGTTATTTGGTATAGTTCTTTTTTGTCATTCTGTTGCACCAGGTCACAATGCAAATACATGTGGATAAATAATATGCTCAATATTAAAAATTCCTTAGCTATATTATTTCTATAAACAGAATATTTTTTGAACGGTAAAATTATGCTGTTATTTTTATTATTATTATTATTATTGAGAGGCGGGTACAAATATACGAATCTCAATATCACTACCATAACACCCAATCTGATAAAAATGTACAATGAAACATGTGTCAACTGTACGCGATATTGTGACGGACTTTGATAAAAGCAGCGTATAACTTTCCAGGTAGGGTCCGGTTGGAAATACCTTCACGTCGAGTAACCCTGTTTGAACAGATTAACCCTGATATTTCTAAATATCTAGATACAGCTCCCAAGTTGCTTTGTTTCCTTCATCTTCAAATGTAAAAAAATACTTAGCACTCAAACATAAAACTACCTCACTATGCCCACCCATGGATAGTACCTCAGCTTATAGGGGGCATATCCAACTATTTATAATCAATCAACTGACAAGTTAATCTGCAGTACTGACGACGATGTTTACTGTAACCCATCTTAATTCCCCAAGACAAAATATCTAAGTTTTAACACTTTCAATCAATTAAGATCAGAATCCATGTGAACCATGACTTGTGTAACATCAAAGCATTTAGTCCCATTGTACGTTACCTTATAATAATCATATATATATATATATATATATATATATATATATATATATATATATATATATCAAATACATATCGTTAATACCTAACAAAACACGTAATCCAGTAAATTAACAAGGTTTGAAAGCGAAGAGATTTGGTAAAAAGCGTGCTCAGTATAAAAACAATACCTATCTATCTATCTATCTATCTATCTATCTATCTATCTATCTAAATTGTGTGCGTGTATCTACGAAACATGAAGTCGGATAAATAAATCTTTTGAACTTTTCTTTATCTACTAAATCACTCTCTATCTTTCACTCTCACACATATATATGGACACACATATATATGGAAAAATATAGTTTTAAGGTATGCTATATTTATGGGTAAAAGGGATTAATATAAAGGATACAGTGTATGCAAATATAGAAATTAGATATTGAGGTCAACATCGAACGGTAACAGATTGTTTCATGCTTAAACGAAACGATAGCCTGAAGGTTGCGTTTAAGCATGAAACATATTTTCGCTACTGGATGTTGACCGTAATTTCTAATAATTATATATATATATATATATATATATATATACAAACGCTACAGTTCAAAAATTTGAAGTCACCACCAGAATTAACATGAGATGAACTTGAGAGAAGAGTAAAAAAAAAAAAAAAATGAAATAGAGTTCTTACAGTCATTAAAAAAAAGGAATGGAATAATTTGTCAAACATATTTTGAGAAACTTTTGCAATGAATGCCAAAGATTTGTTCTGCAGTAATCAAGGCTTAAGGAGGATATTTTGCCGAGAGCAAAATTTAATCCTAAAATGCCTTTTATTCTTTTTGTCATAATAAAATTTCTAATAAAATGTCAGGTCTCATTTTTTAATCATGCTTAGTTTAAAATACAAAACAGCTACATTTGGGGCCATTTTAAAAATTACTAGGGCTGGTCTCAAACTTTTGAATGTAGTGCATATATATATATATATAGAGAGAGAGAGAGAGAGAGAGGGGAGAGAGAGAGAGAAAACTATGAAAGAAAAAAACCTTGCACCAATCTATCTATCTATCTATCTATCTATCTATCTATCTATCTCTCTCTCTCTCTCTCTCTCTCTCTCTCTATATATATATATATATATATATATATATATATATATACATACATACATATATACATACATGCACACACACGTACACACACACACAAACACATAAGCCACCAAAAAGGATTACTTAGGACAACCCAGGAAGTAATCATTAATAAATTTGTCATATTAAACTCGATGAACTGTAAGCGATTACTTGGGACTTATAATATTACAATATGTTATTTGATGACAACCAGCGGTATAAAATACATACTTTGATTAAATCCCTCCCTGCTCCATCTATATAGAAAATTAAAAAGAAATATAAGAATTTAATGCTGTCCTGATGTTTATTCTGTTTTGGATAGAAATCGTGTGTGATTATGAGTATGTTCCTGAAAAAACTAGACATTATCTCAGAAAAGTGAGTGCTAAAACAAATAAAAGTATTTTGACTGAATTGAAAAGCAAAATGGATGCTTCGGTCATTGCGAGACTTTGACACAATGTTGTGGCGCCAAATGTAAGAGCGGGAAAAATAATCAATAACCTTCAATTATTTCTTGTATTAGTTTCTTCTTTATGTTCAAGAAACGCTTCTTGTTTCGATGTTTTAAATAAACAAGCAAAAGTAAATGTATAAAGTAAAGTAACAAGAAATAATAATAATAAAAATAAACTGAAGTATTATTTCATTCTCATGAATCTTTTTTTATGTACATGTCTCGAAACTATCAAGTACATATTGATAAATATTACCATTAGAAACATAAATCTCAGCAGTATAAAAATTACTGGATAGAATGACAAATTACTGTTATGGTTGTTGATGCTGCAGGTTTAACTATAGCATATACCCATATCTTTATACTATTATTATCATTGCTACAACAGCAACAATAGCATCATCATCATCATCATCATCATCATCATCATCATCATCATCATCATCATCATCATCATCATCAACAACAACAACAAAAACAACAACAATAATAATAATAATGATGATGATGATGAAGACGAAAAAGAGTAAAATAAAGGAGAGAGGGTTATATGAATGTTATGCGACATATTACTATGGTACATAGTTTTTCTTTTAATCGATTCACCGCAAACAAGGGGATAATGCCACTAAGACGCAAGGGGCTACGGGAAGGGAAAGAGATGGAAAAACTTTACAAGGAACTGGAAACCCAATTCTAGACAGTAAACAAATGATAAACCTCTAGTCCTGTTCAAAATACTGGAGTGGAATATGAACTGGACGATAGTTGAACCTATTTACTCCTTTTAAACATACTTTCACTGTTACTAATGAAACTAGTAGAATATGCGGAAGATAATTTCTGGGAATAAAAAATACAAAGATGCTAATAAACTAATAGATATCAAAAGGAATGTTTATTAAAGAAAATCATTTGAGTGTTGTAGAGCTAGCTAAGTTGGAAGAAAATTTTAAAATGGAATTGTTTAATTAATTAGAATTAATAAATACTAAAACTGAAAATTTAGGAAATTTAAGAATAGAAGTTGTTAAATTGTATAATAGTGAAACAGAAAGACTAATAAACAATGTATGTGAAAAAAGAGAATAAAAAGATCAGGAACATCAAGATCAGAAAAAAATGAGTTAAGTAAGAAACAAATAAAGAAAAAGTTCAGGAAAAATCGAAGACATGGCAGAAAAAACGAAAAGCATTATTAGAATAAAAGCAATTAAAGAAATAGTAAACATATTGATTTGAATTTAACTAGGCTAAATAAATCATAAACTCTTCTTCAGTAGTTATGACATCAGTTCAAAGATTGAGGCAAACAAAAGCTAAACCTAAGAAATAAGCAGAACTCAACATTATCGTATAAAAAGAGAGAGAAATATATTGATGTTTTGTCAGCAAACCTTTCAATCTGAGATGGAATATTAAAAAGACTAAAAGCGAAAATTTGGAAATTCTTAAAAATGTTACATAAATATAATATAAAACAAGAAAATAATATGTCAACGGAGGTCTTAAAGCAACGCATCCAACGTGAAGCATAAAGAAAGGGAAAATGAAGAAATAATTTTATAAACAAAACACTTTCAAAATAAACCTGGAAAAATTCTATAGGAAAATGGTGAAATCAATAAAGCCAGTAGAAAAAAAATCAAATAAAGAAGTAAGTGAGTTTTGGAATAAGATATGGGAAAATTAAAAGAATTATGAGAACAGGGCTTAATGGCTTAGGAACACTGAAAAGAGATAGATGAACAGAAATAGAACAATAAAGACATAAAAAAGTATAAGTTCTGAAAATAAATTAATAAAAAAATATAAAAAGAGAATAGAAATTGAGAAGGTGTTTAACCTCTGGTTAAATGCTTTTCCAGCTATCCACAAATCAATTGCAGATGCAGACCATAAATGATTAACACCGAACATTAGTTATTTAATCCCCTAAACTGATGACACTCCTAACTATCAAAATTGCCGAACGATTACATGTTTATCAAATTCGTACAAAACACATCGATTTTACGTAAAATAATGTATTAATTCCTTGAAACAGGTAACATTATCCCGGAAGGGTAGAAAGGATGTAAAAGATGTTTTGTTCTTGTGGCTGCAAAAAATCACTTGCTAATCAACATGTTGATGGAAAAATACCGCCCAAAAATATGAACTCATAGATAGATTTAAAAAATAGACTTTTATAAAGTCCCACATGATTGGGTATTAAAGTAATAGAATAAATTAAAAATTTTCTCACTCTTACGTATTTTCTAAAATTAACGTCTAAAATGGAATACCTTATTCTTCAACCACCTTAATTGTAAAATTAAATGTGGGGACTTGCAAGATAATAATGGATATATGCATTATAAACTTGTTAAAGTTTTAGTGCCTGGCTGCAGAGCCTGATAAAAAACCATATAAAATGATAAGATATAATTTTTATTTTAACACGATGTTGATTTTTTTGTTTAATGACAAATCAATTCCTTATGGGTCATTTAATACCGAAATTGAATTTTCTTGGGAGCTTTGAAGTAATAAAAATATAAGTTATTCAGATTTCACAATTGAATACATGGTAGATGATACTCATCTTTTGTGCATATACATATTTGTGTGGACATAATTACTAGAGGCGGTGATATGTGTGTTTTACGCTGTTGCTTTATTGAAGTTTTAATTTGGAATACAGTTTAATTTCTTTAAGAAATTGCAGAACATTATTTGAATTAATGTCATGAAAGAGTTCTTTCATATTGGTTGGTTGATTTTGTTTAATGGCATAACAATATCTGCCGAAATCTAAATAATTTGAAATCAATTGTATGCTTTCAACTACAGATAAAATGTATTGCTTGTCATTATTTTTTAATAAGAAATTTATTCCTGGTATTTTTACTATAAAAATTTACTTTTATACTTTCAAAGTGTTTGGGGATTCACTATTTGCCCATAGCCTGGGCCCTAACAGGTGCTACCACTTCCTGGGAATAACAGCAATTAAAAGGTGGTTCTATGCTCCTCAAAACCTCCAATCTTCCGATCATTGGCCTTGCTGTCGGATGTAGTTTATCGTTAAACCCAGGACTTTAACACGATGTGTAAGTACATATTGTATTTTAGTCTTTTCTGTATATGTTATTGATAAAAATAATATAATCAAAATTAATGCTTGCCTGATATATATATATATGCAGGTTAGCAAGTCTGTTTCCGGTTGTTTCCCATCAGTTGCTTTACGTAGCATTTTTCGAACTAGGTCTGCGTTTCCGTCTTTTCGCAAGGATGTATTGCCCTACATCAAATTGAGTAATTTAGTATATGAATTTAATTGCCAGTGTGCTGCTGGTTATGTGGGGCGTACAACCTTGCATTTGGAAACTAGAATTAATCAGCACGTACCTTCCAAAATACGACTTGGTAAGATAGATAGAATATGCTATCTTCCCCATGAATATGGAATCGGCTATTGCTCAACATTTAGTTGAGAATATAGCTTGCGCCAAGTTGTTTAAAAAAGAGTGGTTTAAAATTATTCATACAGCCGATTCCAATAATCATTTGAAGATTTTGGAATCGGTCTGTATAGGATTAAGAAAACCTTCTCTCTGCCGGCAGAAAGAATTTATAAAGTCTCTGAATCTGTGGGGGATATTTTATTTTAACTGTCCCTCGCTAATTTATTTATACGATTCTTTTCCCTTCCCCTCGTTACAAGTATATATACTTGTTTGTTATTTTAGTGTGTTTCCCCTTTTTTGCTCTTCAATATCGTTTATATTCTTTTCGCTAATCCAACGATTGTCTCCTGATGAGATGTTGGCTGAAAGGGCCCTAGAGACTTTTAAAATTAAAAATCAATGCATTCCTTGTTTTTAAAACTATATATATATATATATATATATATATATATATATATATATATATATATATATAAGATATATTTTAAGACAGTATATATATATATATATATATATATATATATATCTTAAAATATATTACACTAGTGGAACAACGAGCACTACAAGGTTAATAACATGGGTGATTAGAAAGTCATTGTCAAATATGAAAATGAAATAGAAGCTATGCAAGCAACGGTAAAGAAATTAATTGAAAATGTCACCAATGAATTAGCATAAATGAGCTAAAACATGCTTTAAAAGAGGGAAAATGGTACAGACAATTCGTTTAATTATTATTTCCTTTGATTTCTGTTATATACACATTACCTTTTGGTTCCACACCATAGACCCAAGGTCAGAAATGTTTTCAGGACATTTTCAACTGATCATTTTTGTAAAAGAAAAAAAAATCTAAGATTACACACATTTTACATATTTTACATTTTACATTACTCTCCGTAATATGTGAGATGTACTTGTGAGTATAATTTGTATTTCTTTAAGACATGGACTAACAGGAATCCTTATCAATTCCTATACATAACCTTTTCCAAACAATCCAAGGCCTCCATCTACAACTGGAATTATTGATGAACTCATATGACACAATTTTTAAATTTCCACTTCAAGGTCCTTGTATTTTGATACTTTTTTTAAAAAGATCTTCAAAGATACATTACATACGGATGTATTCTCCATCGTATTGTGCCGATAATTTCAGTACTTTCTAAGATTTCCAAGGCTTCTAAAGTCTTTACATAATTTCAGTCCTATATTCAACTTATTACACCGACTACTAAAATGAACAGTAAACACCACCCAGATTTAACTATAATTACATTCTTTATTATTAGATTCATTAACTTATAAATTAATTATTGATCTGCCGTTGTGTATCGGTTAGAAGCCTGGGCTATTTGCGTATTTCCCCAGTAGCGTTTTTGTTGTGCGTTTCAGTTTAATCGAAATCCAGGAATTAAAATACCGATTTTTTAAAGACAGACACTTTCTATCTTGAAGATTAGTGGAATGTAATCTATCTATCTCCTCTTTCCATTAATTTCTCTTGAATAAGCTGAGCTTAGCAAATATCTAAAACTCTGCTGTTAATCGAAAAATGATAGCACAGAGACACGCATACAAACGCCAGAACAAACAAAAATAAGAAGATTCATTGGTATCTAATTCTCTCCGGAGAGCTTAACTCAGCAGAGATTTATATTTCTAGCATTCATTAACATTCATATATTATTTATTTCCTTCCTTATTTATTTATGTGGCTTGTAAAGATATACCTATAATCGGAACATTTATAAGAGAGCGCCAATCGGTAAAAAATGTTTTGAATCGACAATTTCCATCAATCTCGTCGTGCATCTGTATTTCTTATTTTTTTAGTTCTCTTACGGTCTATCGTTCTCTTTGTATCTATTCTTTATCAGACATTACACATTTATTTATCTCTGTTTATATGCATTTATGAAACAACTGATCAACTTGGATGAGTCAGTCATTATCTATCTCAGTCCTATCTATCTATCTATCTATCTATCTATCTATCTATCTATCTATCTATCTATCTATCTATCTCAGTCTGGTCATATCTATCTATTTATCTATCTATATATAATAGTTTATATGCATTTATGAAACAACTGATCAACTTGGATGAGTCAGTCATTATCGATCTCAGTCCTATCTATCTATCTATCTATCTATCTATCTATCTATCTATCTATCTATCTATCTATCTAAATCTGTTCATATCTATCTATCTATCTATCTATCTATCTATCTATCTATCTATCTATCTATCTATCTAAATCTGTTCATATATATCTATCTATCTAAATCTGTTCATATCTATCTATCTATCTATCTATCTATCTAAATCTGTTCATATCTATCTATCTATCTATCTAAATCTGTTCATATCTATCTATCTATCTATCTATCTATCTAAATCTGTTCATATCTATCTATCTATCTATCTATCTATCTATCTATCTATCTATCTATCTATCTAAATCTGTTCATATCTATCTATCTATCTATCTATTCATATCTATCTATCTATCTATCTATCTATCTATCTATCTAAATCTGTTCATATCTATCTATCTAAATCTGTTCATATCTATCTATCTATCTATCTATCTAAATATGTTCATATCTATCTATCTATCTAAATCTGTTCATATCTATCTATCTATCTAAATCTGTTCCTATCTATCTATCTATCTATCTATCTATCTATCTATCTATCTAAATCTGTTCATATCTATCTATCTATCTATCTATCTATCTATCTATCTATCTATTATCTATCTAAATCTGTTCATATCTATCTATCTATCTATCTATCTATCTATCTATCTATCTAAATCTGTTCATATCTATCTATCTATCTATCTATTATCTATCTATCTAAATCTGTTCATATCTATCTATCTATCTATCTATCTATCTATCTATCTATCTATCTATCTATCTATCTATCTATCTATCTATCTAAATCTGTTCATATCTATCTATCTAAATCTGTTCATATCTATCTATCTATCTATCTATCTATCGTTAACACTCTCGAAGGATTAACTAAGCCAAAGAGAAAAACAATCTCGAGAGCAATCTCAGAGCAAACATAGGACCAAGTCTTATATACCATATTTTTTTAATCATTCGACTACGGGCTTCGGAAAGGAACCAATTCAAAAGAAATTATGGAATCTAGTTTTTAATCAAGTAAAGGGTACTGGGCGATTCTTTCTATATGTCACTGAAAGCTGGACATTATGCAGCAGAAATGTGGTTCTACAGAAGGCTGCTGAGAATCCCATCGACTGAACCTATGAGCAAAGACGAAGTTTTAGAGAAAATGGAAACAAAAGGATACTTATGCTAAGCCTCGGAAAGAGACTGTTGAAATTTCTAGGGTACATAATGAGGAACGTGTGTTTGGAAATTTTAACATTCAGAGAACGTTGATGTCTAGAGGTGGAAAGAAATGCAACGAATAACCTACCTAGAGAGCTTGTGTAAATGGTTGGCAGGACAAGGATTAGGACAAATAGCAAAAAAGACAAACATTTCTAAGAGCTAGAAGGGACAGGAAGTTGTGGAGAACCATGGTCTTGAAATGACATTGCGCATAGAAAAACGTTTGCCCAGAGTTTTGAAAGTATTTTGTATATGCACTTAACATATATACAAAAGAAAAGTAATTAGGACTGAAATATATAAACAATTAATTTGAATTAAATTTTAGGAACTGTAATTCAAAGGGTTTTTTTATATATCTAGAACCACTTATTTTTACATGATTGCTATGCTTCTTTTCTTTTTAAAAGGTAATTTAAGAATAGCGCTGATGTTGATAGATTTCATTTTGCAAGTGTTAAGGTAGAGAGTGATGGTTTTGGCTGACGGAATTAAGAGCGGAGAGACATAATGGCGGCTAGCAGATTACTGAGTCGGATTTGCTGATGACATTACTGGCTCAGCTTTCGAAGAACAATGACCTGTTAACGCTATAGAGTGCTTTGACAAATTCCTACAGCCCGCGGCACCGTAACCAGTGCCCGAGAGATCGTGGCGCTAACCAAACATAATGACAGCATTAGCGATGACTCATACATGCGTATATGTTTGCGTACTCTTGAGCTCAAATGCACTCTTTGCCTCTTTTCCACTCATACATATACATACATTCACCCATATATTTGCCACTGCTTGTGCGTTATTATTGTTGTTCGTTGTCCAACAAGATTCAGTTCAACGAGGTCATTGAGGTAATGAAGAGGAGTCAAGTAAGTTAGGAAAAATTTCTGATATTAACCATAGCACATTTTTTTGAACTCTTACATATCTTCGTTGCAAAGATATTACTTGGAACGAAGATATGGAAAAATCAGTTGAGTGCTCATTTAATGTTAAATACTAAATTTTTGATCCCATGGCTGAGATACGAGCGTATATATCTGCGTGTATTATAGAGCAATGATTTCCAACATGTGGCGCATGCGTCATGGTAATATTTTGGTGGGGCATGCACAGGATGTTCGTCCTTCGGCTTACTATACCAACAGAATAAAGGGGCAATTCGAGAATGAGTTATTAACAGCAAATTGTTTTCTAGTGTGCTCGAGTTTCATTTTGCATTTTATGATTAAAATGATCAAAGTATATTACAGAATAAGCTTTCATTTAAATATTTTATATTTCTTCCTTTCAGTTCTCTGTTATATGTTTTGAAACTATATATATTTAACTGTCTTTTTTTTTTTTTTTTTTAAATTCTCTTTCAGGGACACTATAGTTTTGGAAATTTGTTTAGAGACCAAGTTAATGGCCGTTTAAGCTTCCTTTACGGGAGTTGCAGTAAAATTTTGAATATATAAGAGTTAAATATTACAGGGGAGATGACACCAGAATTGTTAGAAATACCAAAGTGTGGCATGGCTCAAAATGGTTGGGAACCACTATCCTAGAGACCTGTATGCATTCTTTGTCTCTATTGCACTCATACATATAAGCTTAGAAAATCATTTTGGGTACCTCGATGTGGTGTAATGGTTACCAAATTTGTCTTGCTTGATCAGTTACGACTTAGTAGTGAAATCGATTATCACTGGGTGTGCCACCCATTCGGCTTTGTGCCACATCTAAGCTACGCTTAGTAAATCATTTTGGGAACCTCGAGGTGGTGTAATATTTAGCAAATTTGCCTTGCTAGAACAGTGAGTTCGATCATCACTGGGTGCCCCAATACTGTCGATCTTGTGCTACATGTAAACTACGCTAAAAAAAAGAAGCTGTACATATACAAGTGTGTATGTGTTAGTATGTACGTAGTGATATCTTAGAAATACGACTCTAAATTTTAAATACGATAGAATGTTTGAAAAGCTCTAAAATCTGAAACAGTATTTTCTCTCAAGCTTGTTTATTAGGATAATTAGCGCCAAATATATATTCGGATACATATGTTTATATTAATAAACATGCCATTTCTCTAAAACTCATAAAAATGTAAGTATTTAAGTTAATATATGACAAATTATCAATGAAAATACGTAAGTAAAAATGTAAGAAAATATAAAAATTGAAACAATCTTTTCATAATAATCTCAGGGCGATTAAACAACTTCCCAGATACACTACAGTTCAAAAGATTGAAGCACACCTGATAATTTTTTAAATTGGCCCCAAAAGTAGTTGTTTTGTATTTTAAATAAGAGAACATTTTTTAAAAAGTGAGTCCTGATTTTATTAGGAATTTTATTATGGCAAAAAAAGCATTTCAAAATTAAATTTTGCTCTCATCAAAATATCTTCCTTTGCCCTTGATTACTGCAGCACATATCTTTGGAATTCGTTGCAACTGTTTCTCAAAGTATAAATTTCATACTTGATTCCATTCTTTTTTCAATGATTCTAAGAACACTTTTTCATTTTTTTTTCACTCTTCTGTCAAGTTAATTCCATGCTAATTCTGGGATTCGCTTCAAATTTTTGAACTGTAGTTTATATGTATCCTTATCGCTACGTGATGATTAACAAGCTTACCTAGATGACCAAATGGGTTCGATTCTCTGTAGTACCTCGTTAGTTTACTAAATTAAGCCTAGTAAATAAATTTAGACCGACTTGTTATGGAGATCATTACTGTGGATTAGATGCTCATTATGTACTCGACATTGATTTAATTATGCAAAACAAGCTAAGCTTCGTAAATTAATATTTAGGCAAATGTCGTAAACCTAAGATGGTGTTGTAAGCCTTTGTTAGCGTGTTGGTATCATGGCTCTATAAAAACTAAGCTATGTTAAGCTCGGTAGAACAGTTACACATTAAGTGTATAGGTATGTACACACCTGTGTATCTGATGGAATGACATTTTTATTTGCCTATCTTTTTAACATTTATTTAAAGTTGTTTTACAGCTGTTTTTTACGTTTAAAGGAATAATTTTTCCTTCACTTTGCATCTTACTAATAATAACTCGAATTTTAAATATTTAAAGTTAAAAAAGCTGGAAGTTATTTGACTTGGGAAATAAAACAACTGCTGGTGTTCGGAAGAAATAAGGACGTGGTTTATAAATAATTGTATACTATTTATTTACATATAGAAAATAAAAAAAACGACACTTTAATCTTAGATATAAATGCTGGTCTTGCAAAGGAATACTGATCTACATCTCAAAATATGACCGAACATCACTTTTTTTTAAAATCCAGTCTTAAGTCGGATCAAGAACTTTCGACACTCCTTTGTATAGAAACTATTTAAACAGCAAAAAGTTTTCTTTAAGTCACTGAAGTATGTAAATGATTGTAAAATTTAGAGATTAAGTGACAGCATACTTTCCTAGATATATAATATCTTTCTTATACAATCTTGCTGTTGCTATTATTATTATTATTATTATTTATTTATCATTATTATTATTTCCTTTGGTTTCTGGTGTATACTCATTTTTTTCCGGGTCCCGACCAGAGACCTAAGGTCAGAAATGACATTTTCCACTGAGCAGATTTGAAAAAGAAACTCACATATTTTACATAGATAAAGCCCTTCGTAAGGCGTGTTCTATATTTGTGAGTACAGTTATTTGTATTTCTGTAAGGCATCTTACTATTTGTACGAGAGGGTCATTGTTTTTTGTAAAGTAGGATTCCAATCCGATTGTTGTAGTTTTTAGAGTTAGTTCAAGTTGGATTATACCTCAATCTCCTAAAGCTCTTGGTACGCACAGCCTATCAAGATCTGATTTCGGGTCGTGCATCCTCATTTAGATAAGCATTTTCCTGGTCTTTTAATATCATTCAACTTCCATTTAATAATGATGAAGCTGTATGTTACTAGGGGTATAGCTAATGTGTTGAT